GTTCAGGAGTTGGTCTTAATTTGTTTACTGCATTTTCTATTCTTGTAGTCTGCTTTCCTATTGTTTGGAGGCGAATATTTGTATAACTATTTTGTTCAATAATATGAGGTATTCCATCAAGTTTGGCCATATTATGGTCGCTTTCTTTGGGTCCTATCTTGAGAGGTGAGGCTCTAATTTCAATTTTCTCCCCTAATTTATCTCTTTTAAATTGTAAGCTAGCCTCAGGGGATGAATGGACTCAATTGTTTCCCCTTTGGTGGTTTGAAAGGATTTTTCGACCATATTTACCTCAAAGTTTGGAATTTTTATTTTATAATATTTTGTTATATATTTTAATCATTTAAAAAACTTGACAGTTGCCTGATGTTTTATCATAAAACGATTAAATTTTAGATGAAAGGAAAGGCATCTATCAGAGGTTCTTTAAATTATTTGAATAACCATTCTCTTATTAATCTATTTTCTTCAGAGTAGAAATCTTTTCTGATCCATTCTTTATCAATATTAAATTCTTCTTTTTGAATAACATTCACATCAAAGTCCAGATCAGAGGAGTTGGTTCTTGTTCTTCTATTTCAGAAGAACCTGGAGTATCTACTCTATAGACTGGTTGTTGAACCTGATTTTCAATCATATTAAGTCTTTCGATAATAGTTCTCCTATGAGTGGATAATATTTCATATTCTGACTGTGGGATCCAAGAGGTAGAGCTTCGGGGAGGATCCCTAATGCTAGATTCAACAATTCTTAATGTAGTCTGTCTGGAGGATGGAAATCTGATTTCTATCTCTCCATCGAAATATTCTATTATTTGTTCAGTGTCTTTGTTCTCAGGGTTTTTAATTGGGGATTCAATTTGTAAGGACCATCTCTATGGTAATTGTACCTGAGACCATGCCACTGACTTTGGTATGACTAGATTTGATTTTTCCATGTTTGTTTGGAAAAATATGGTTTGTCCTTTTAAATCCATTTGCCTAACATTTGGACAAAGAGTATTCATTACCTTATAATATATTCAGTAAACAAATGCTAGATTTTGAGAACCTGAGTCCATATCAAAACTTTGAGTTTTAAAGTTTAGAGTCAGGACCTTTAAAAGATTAGGATCAGTTAAGGCCACCGAGAAATTTGGAAAACAGTTGAAATAAATGAGGCCGTTACAGAGACTGGATTCTACTATTCCTAACAAGGAATCAGTGAATCTCTTATGCCTGTTGTCTCTTAGACAGAGTAGAACATAATTATTTAATCATGTTTTTGTCAATGCTTTAACAGCTATTTGAACCAAACCAATATGCAAGTATTTGTATTCTTTCCTTTTATGATCTTCAATCATTTTAGGGAAAAATAATTGGAATTTATCCTGGGTTTCCATTAAAGAAATATTTTGCTCAATAGATTTAATAGAAAAGCTACTTTTAAAATCAAACTTTCCCTTACTATAAACATCAGTTATAGGGACCTTTGGTATATTCCAATTTTGGATTTGCTTTTCTATGTTATCTATTATTATTTCTTCCCTATTATTAACATGTAGTGTATTACTAGTAGTAGCTGACCTATTAGATAGAGTTCTAATACAATTTGCCATTGTAATTCGAGTCAACTGGAAACAGTCCCTACACTTTTCTGGCTCTTCCTGGCCTTAGTGGTCTTTAGGTCATGACGACTTTGAACTTACTACTACAAATTTTACTCAGAATACTATTTAATAGTTCAGTTTTCTACTGGTAATACAGTTAGACCACTGTAATATAAACTTGGCTCCGATACCATAAAGCGGAACTGAACATTAAAGCAAGATTAAACGCAGTACAACATTAACATGAAACAAATACAACAGACTACAAGACGTAACTTCCCTTTGCATAGTAGTTGGACTGATCCAGAATCTGAATTTTCTTGTCCACATAGCGGTTACATTAGAGATGTTGCCTTCATCTCTACTCATCTCATCTCCAAATCTCCTATACTAAATAGTTTGCTCCATCTTAACAACAAAACCCTTGCCCTGTTTGAGATATCTCCCTGCATAATTAATCTCCTAAACCCAAGTACTCCATAACTTCTCTCTCTCTCTCCCCAACATGGGCTCCCATCAACCTTCCTAAAAATCTACCCACACAAACGCCATCAATGACCCGATGCATGAAACCTCCATTACTGGTCGAAATCGTAACCTCCACCTTTGTAAAACATATACAATTTCAGGCACGAAAACAATGTTCCATTCATTCATAAAATTCTCCATATAAGAAAATTCAGGTTGTGAGCCCTGGTTTAGAGGGCCTTCGAAATAATTGCCCGCAAAGTGGTTTAAGCCCTTGGTAAACTAGGGTTTTGAAGCCCACAAAGGAAGGTAGCATAGTAAGTCTGGGATGAGGGCAAGGTAACAGAGCATGGGGCTGGATACCAAACGCCGAAGAGGATAGGGAATAATATGCCTGAGAACAAACGGAAAGACCATCTTGTGCAACAAGATTGTGGACGCACTATGCAGCAACAAACGGAAAGACCATCTTGAACTTAGCTCAGTTAGCAAATGGGGAGGATAATATGAATACCAATAATGAACTTGATCTTAGAATAGCCAGTGTTCTCAAAAGCAAAGGTTATAAATACCAAGGCGAACTTTGGACTGATTCAACAACGAAAGACTTTGAGGGTCAAAAACACAATGTTGTTATCGTGACTACTGCAAGTCTTCCTTGGATGACTGGAATTGAACAAAAGAGACATGCGCAAGCGTTGAGGAAGGGGGAGTGTTGAGAACATGAACTCCGCTTCCCTTCTGGTGGTGCCACTTCAGCCATGGCCTCTCTTTCTCTGTTTGTACGGATCGGAGGTCCTCTCGATATTCAAGATCAATGTCTCGCTGCTCTAATACCATGTTAGAATTCGTGGGAGCATAGAATGGAGAGAGAAGAAGAGAGAACACAACATTTACGTGGTTCAGGCCAAAGCCTTACATCCACAAATCCAAAGCCCAACTGGCCACATCTTAACTATTTTGGATGAATGTTTACATCAATAAGTTTCTCTATATATAGAGGACAATCACACAATTAGATGAGATAATTATGGTATGATAACCTGATGACCAAGTAACTTAGTCTCTACCTTTTAGATACCTAACTTTATCAAGAGATATATACATATACATCCATAATAATGTATATCAATATGAAACCGATATATCCATATCTTAACACAATTCGCATCCAAATCATGGGTAAGATGCATGGTGACATCCTTTGTTGTAACTTTGGGAGGGATAAGACCACAGCCCTAGTGGAAGAAAAGTATTTTTGCCCCAAACTAAAGGAAGATATCAGCCAGTTCATGGAGTGCTGCCAAGTGTGCCAGTTGGCTAAGGATCAGACTTAAAACACCAGCCTTTACACTCCCTTACCCATCTCCGACTGACCACGGACAGATCTGAGTATGGACTGTGTGATGGGGCTTCCCCCCACCTCAAGAGGGTGTGACTCTATCGTCATGGTGTGAGATAAGTTCTCTAATGGCTCGCTTCATTACATGCCGAAACATTTTTTAGACATGACACAAGAAGCCAATATTTTCTTTAAGGAGGAAAATTGGTTCAGCAGGGAGGAAGGGGGGGGGGGGAGTAAAATTGGTTCAGCACAGGGGAGGAGTAAAATAGGTTCAGCGAGGGGGGGGGGAAGTTTGCAACGCTGTTAAATCCCCTTCGACCCAAAATGCCATTGTCAGAGTGCATTATCCGCACTCTTGCCAACGGCTTGCGGCATCGCCTAGCGGCGCAGGAGGATGCGGGCGCCTAGGCACCTCAACACCTAGGCCCGTGCACTTCGCATAAGCTGCCTAGCCGCATAGGCAGCCTACCAAGGGGGCAAAGCATTTCAAACAGAGGTAGTTCCCAATTTTGAAGTATCTCTTTAATATTATTCTCTCACTCACTTCCAGAATTCCAATTATGACTTCCACATGTATTGTCAATCCAATTGAAATGATATTTGGAATGGAAACATGACGAACCACAAAATGAGAATCTATAAATATTTGATAAGCGAATAGAACATAATAATATGTACAAATTCGCTTTAGAAATAGCATTGACAAAATCATCTTCTAAATCATCTTCTAATTAAATGAAGGCTAGAAATAGCCTCGGTCAAGTTCTTAGTGGCCATAATATTGCAGTAAAACTCAACAAAGCATGGTAAGTACACAACATACGATGAGTCATACAGGACCTTCAAAGATGCAAAAAATCAAGACCTATATTCAAATTCTCTACATAGAACATGCCTGTGACAAGACAGCGAGGAGGTCCTGAAAACTGTGTGTATACTCCGGATGAGAATCTATTTCATCTCTTAGCCAGTTCAAAATGCCAGCACCACCCCAATCTTCTGAAGAGACTTGCACTGCCAAAGAAGCCACCACTACACTAATTGGCAAAACAAAGAGGTGAACTAGGAGTGACTTTCATGCTATGAGCATTGCTTAAACAAAATACATAAATTGCAGATAGACATTCCACAGAAAATTACCTGTGCTCCAACTTTCGTTGGTCCATTGTGGAGCTTTTTGAGCAATGACTGCATTTAGCACAACTCCTAGGTCATGCAAAAGATGAAGAAGATATGGGGAATATGGTAAACGAGATAGAGTACATTGAAAAAGATTCAAATGCCTACAACTATCCATCAAGCATGAGTCATTCATCCGGCCGAAGAGACCACACCTTCAGAACCTAATACTACTGTGTACAAAAACGCGCATCTAATCGAGTTGATGCATGCTAGCTACATGCAAGAATTCACATGGTTAAACTACTTGCTCAAAAGATGCATGGTTTTGTCCCATTCGCTTTCTTCGTTTTTGTCTTTTTAATGCTATTTGGTCCATTTCACTAAACACATTCAATCAACTAAAGTTTTTCTATTATGCTTTGTCATTAAAAACAAGTCGTGTAGGAATTCCTTACACATAGTAAATCACATAAGGGGCGAAAAGCTTCAGAAGGAAGTTCCTCGAAATCTCTGTGCACCTAAAAATTAAATGAAAAATTACTTGGGTTTTTTTCAGTTAACTGAAATATCAATTGAAAATCGATGCCCAAAATAAAAGAACTTCGAAAGATTGCAAAACATAAAAAGCAAAATTACTAAACTCAATGAACACACTTAAAGCCTACAAAAATAATATATTACGCTTAGTTTTCAGTGTCTGAGCACAGAAAATAATACTTTCTAGGTTGCTGCTGGCATTATGAAGTAAACTATCAGACACCTGAAAGAATTGCAATTTGTTAAGAAAGATGAGTTATATCACATGGAAAAGTGTATATTACAATCAATACAAGCACCACACAAGCAAATAAGAGAGGCCTCTGTTTCACCATTCAGCAGACTGCAATACAACACCCATTAGGTTTTTCCAAGAAAGACCTACAGTTCTGCAGATAATGTACACTTGTTTTCATTACAAATGCAACCACAAATTAAATATGCAAAAAGACAAAAAGGCAACCACAAGGTTAGCAAAGCAACGAACTCATAACAGTACCCCACCCACACAATACAATGTATCCGTAAAATATATGCACCATGAAGTCAAAGAAAAGTTTTACTATCTAGACTGTTTTATCCAAAAAAAAAAACAGAGAGCGATAACTTATTTAACAAGTATACACTTTCTACTAATTTCAGCCAGTCCATCTAAGAAGTTGTTAGAAAATTTTGGAAAGGAAGTTTCTGATGTCCCTCCTATGTCAAAAAACAACCTTTTTTTGGGATAAGTCAGCACCAAGGTTTGAACCTAGGATGTATGATACAGAGTGCTTTCTGAAGCCATAACTTTTCATCCGAATGTCCCATCCAAAGCACAAAAGTGAGATGTCTTCGAGATCTAATCTCTTGAAATGTTTGATCCAATTACTCATATGGACACCATATCTGCAAATCACCTACTATTATATAATAGACAGGGTCTCCATGAACAATAACCCAGACTCTTCTCTCTTCGAAAGAGTTCATCGCAACTACTTTGTCTAAAGAGACCATATAGTTTTGGTACAAGAGGTCATAACTACTTTGTCTATGAAATTTCAAATTGGGTATTGTTAAGAGGGTCATTTACTAGACTCAAAATTCAAAAAAATGTTTCTTGAACATTATGGAATGTAGGAAGTGAAATGAGCTTGAGTTGCCAACCGGTGGAACACAGCAAGTGAAATGAATAATTAAAAGTGATTGTTACAGTGGCCACAACAGCACGAGTTTGTAAGGTTCTAATACCAACTTAACCTTTAAATAAATGATTTCTCTGAGCTTCAAATATAAGCTTGAACACCCAGGCTCTCTCCCCTTAGCTATCCTCACACGCTGAAAACAACTCATCTTTCTCTCTCCCCTTATCCGTCCTCACACTCTGCAGATGCCTCATCGCTCTCAAATCAAGGACCATGCCATTCGTATCTCCTTTGGCCTAACACTAAGGTCCAAAGTTTGAACCCCACCATACCCAACTAAACAGGAATCCTATTCTTTTAATAGGCTTGTCCTGGAACTCTTCAGTGACACATTTTCCCCTATCCCACACCGAACCCTGCTTGTTTGTGAAATGGAAAAACCTGTTTTTCTCATATGATAGAGATGTTCTAACACAAATACTCAAATCCATCGCTGTCCCATGTCGAACCCCACTAGTTTGTAGAACGAGACAGATCTGTTTTTCTCATATGATAGAGATGTTCAAACATGAATGCTCCTAGGACAGCAGTCTATCACAGTAAAGTTGAATGTACCTTCCTGTTCATTGGATTGGAGTCCATGGACATGGGTTTAAATCACATTACCAGGCAAGAAAGTAGGACAAGGGATATCTCAATGGCTACAACACCGACATCCAAGCTTGAAATCCCAGTTCACCCAAAAAATACAAGAAATGGATCCTCCAAACTTAGAACCAACTTATGAAGACAGAGAAAAAGACTCACATTCATCCTCTAAATGCCTCATTTCTTGACCCAAGGCCACTACTACATTGCATATCTCTCTAGCTTCAGGATGTGACATATCATTAGTAGTGAAGCCATGCATCTTCTCCCCTGCATCAACCCAACTACAAGCAACCTCTTTCCTCACTCTGCCATCTCTCATCCTCCTCCTAACCTTAGCTACCTCCTCCCAATTTCCTTCAGCCGCATACATGTTTGATAACAACACATAAGTTGCAGAATCCTCAGGCTCCATGGCCATCAATGTCTCGGCTGCCCTTTTCCCCATCTCAACCTCTCCATGATTTCGACATGCTCCCAATAAACTTTGCCAACCTCTAATGCTCGGTTTCCTCTTAACCACTTCCTCAGCTTCTCTAAGCCTACCTGCCCTTCCTAACATGTCAACCATGCATGAGTGGTGCATCGTGTGAGGCTCAATTCCATGCTCTAGAGCCATGCTTTCAAAGCATTGAAGCCCTTGATCCACCATACCCACTCGCCCACAAGCCGAGAGTACAGCTAAGAAGGTTACCGGGTCAGGGCTTACCCTCGCAATTCTCATCTCCTCAAGCAATGACAGGGCTTTGTGGCATTCACCATGTTGTGCATAGCCTGATATCATCCCAGTCCATGTAACCAAGCTCCTCCCATCCATCTCACTGAAGACTCTTTCTGAATCCTCAATCGAGCCACACTTGGCATACATGTCCAGCAAAGCACTTCCTACAAAAACACATGAGCTAAACCCTAGCTTGGCCACTTGGCAATGGAGTCTGCGACCTAGACCTAAAGATAACAACCCTGCGCAAGAGCTTATGACGCTTACAAATGTGAATTCAGTTGGCCTCAACTGAACTACATTATCATAGCTTGCTAAGAGAAAATAAACTTCTACTGCTTCCGTGTATAGTTCATTTTGTGCATAACCAGCCATAATGGCATTATAAGAAACGATCTCTTGAGCATCTATCATGCCATCGAAGACTTTTTGGGATGAATCCATGTTCTGGAATTTGGCATACATGGTTATGAGGCTGTTGGCCACATTGATATCTTGGTCGAGCCTAGTTCGCACAGTGAGTCCATGGGCCTGTGGACCCAATTCCTCCATACCTTGGTCTGAGATTGAGTGGATGAGGGCCACAAATGTGACCTGGTTTGGGCTAACACCTTGTAGTCTCATCTCATTGAATAGGCCCAAGGCCCGGTGTTTGTATAGAGAGATCATGGATGTCCATGAGACTATGTTTCGGTGGACCATGAAATCAAAAACCCTCTCTACGTAGCCTAGAGTCGCTTCACTCTTGGAGTATAGTGAGATCAACTTATTGCATACAGATACGTGCTTCTCTTTGTTGGTTCGAAGAATTTGGCAATGGCATTGCCTCCCGAGTTCGACCTTCTGTTTGCCCACACAAGCTGAGAGAACACTTACAAATGTTATGTGGTCAGGCTTTGGACCATGGCCATGAACCATGTTTGCAAAAAGCTCAATGGCTTCATTCCCATAATTATCTTCCCCCTGTGTGTTGTAACCAGAGATCATGGAGTTCCAAGAGACCAGGTCCTTGAAGACAATCCCATTAAACACTTCCTTGGCTTCTCTTATTGAGTTACACCTAGCATACATGGAAACCAAAGCATTTTGGACAAAGATTTCTTGGCCATGGCCATGAATTACTGAGAGAGCATGGATCTGGTGCCCAAGACTTAGCTCTGATAGGCTCGCACAAGCATTAAGAGAGCTCGCAAAACTCACTCTATCAAAACTGGGCATTTCAGAGGCTTGCATTTGGAGTAAAACCTGTATGGCCTCTCGCTCCATCTGGTTCTGAGCAAAGCCGGCAATGGCTGTGTTATAAGTGATCAAATCTTTCTGGGGCATGGCCCTGAACATCTTAATGGCTTCTTGGGGTTGTGCCCTCTTAAAATAGAGGTTCAATAAGGAGTTGCAGACTGTTACATGGGATTGGAAACCAATAACAATGGCGTGGGATTGGATTAGTCGGCCAATGTTGAGCCCAAAAGGCCCAATTGAGCAACATGCCTTGAGAGCAAGGGCCAGTGTGACATGATCGACAGGTTGCGATGAACTCTTTCGAAGAGAGAAGAGTCTGAGCGACTGTTTATGGAGACCTTGTCTATTATATGATGATAGTAGGTGATTTGCAGATACGGTGTCCATATGAGTAATTGGATCGAACATTTCACGAGATTGGGTTGCTTGTTTGAGTAAAGAAGTTGGGGTGCTGGATTTTTTTGGGTTTTCATGGAAGGGGAGAGAACAGAGAGATAGAGCGTTTTCATGGAGGGACGAGAGAGAATGGGTGCAAAGAGGATCGTGGTTTTGCAATGGGAGAAGGTGAGTGTTTCTGAGAAGGGATTTTGTTGGGTTAGTGAAGTAGAACATGAAGCTGGCATGGGGAGAAAGCTAGCAGGGGCAGGGTATGTTTGCTTTGCGTTGGTGGGTTAATTTCAAATCTCTGAGAAAGGATGCCCTCTCTTTTTGTTTTGGTGGGTTGATTATTTGAAGGAAAAAGTTTATATAAGGTTGCAACTGCAGAATTAAACATGCACCTCATAAATGTATCGGAAAAGGTTGTTCATAAATGTATCGGAAAAAGTCGTTTTAATGTTAAAAACCCTCTAATTGATTATCTTGACGTCGATATGTATAAATAAATATGAAAAAAAAAAAATTTGAGTCCTAAAAATAGTGTTTCTTTCAACAAATTATGCGGACAGCCAATTTTCAAGATTTTCATATGTTTATAGATCTAATTGATTTTAAATATTTTTAAAGTTTAATATTTTATAATTAGATATGAAAATAGATTTTCAAATAATTCTAAAATATTTTACACCAAATAACATATTGTGATAAAATTTGGAGGTACGCTTTAATTGGATTGTTTAAGGTTGCAACCTTATAGAAACCACGCTTTTATTTGAATCCTCTTAGTCCACAAGCTCCAACAAGGAAAAAGAAAAATTGTAAAAACCTACAAGATGGATTTTTTTCGCATTTTACCCCACCCAACTTTTCATAGCAACTCCCCACAAAAAATCATGTTTCCTAGCAAATACCCCAATACAAAAAGTTAATTTTTTTAAAATGAAAATACTCTTCCCTCATGTAACCAATCATTTTCGGGTCCCAATAAAAGGAAACGTCGGACTGTACTTGTACAATGCCGGACTGCTCACTTCAAAAAGTTGGACCGCTATTCAAAACATCGGACTGTCCCTTCAAAATGTCAGACCGTCATATCAAAACACCGGATTGTCCCTTCAAAATGCGAGGCCGTAACTTCAAAACACAAGACCGCTTATTCCAGCAAAAAATAATCACCGGACCGCCACCATGAAACATTGGACAGCCACTATGAAATGTCGGACCAGCCATTCCAGTAAAAATAATCGCAAAAATAATCGTTGGACTGGCTATTCTAGCAAAAAATAATCGCAAAAATAATCGTCGAACCGCCACCATGAAATGTCGAACCGCCACTATGAAATGCCGGACCGACCATTCGAGCAAAAATAATCTTCGGACCGCCTATTTAAAATGCCGAACCGGCCTCTCCAACAAAAATAATTTGTTAGGTGAGGGAAGGGTATTTTTTACCAAAAAATAATAATAATAATAAACTTTTGTATAGGGTATTTGCTGAGAAAAGTTGAGTGGGTAAAATGCGTAAAAAAATCACTACTGAGGAAGTTTTTGCAATTTTCCAAACGAAAATCTCTCTCTCCACCATTCATCTCCCTATCCCTACCTCCATTGGTCTACAAACAAAAGAGAGAGAAAGCAAAGTAAGGAGAGAGATCCTCTCTACAAATGAGCTCCTATCCTCATCCAAACTAGCAAAAGAAACCAAGTGTGGCCTGCTGCATCATTCCTCACCAACTTTGGAGTAATCGCTCCACACACACCAACTTTTGAGTGATCTCCCACTCCCTCCCCTCCCCTCCCCTCCCCTCCCCTCCTTCCCTCCAAAGACTACCCATGAAACTCAACTAATCCACAAAATCACTAGCAAGAGGCTCATCATCTCAAAGCATCACTTGCCCACACAGTTTAGCTTCCCAACAAGTAACCAGCAGTGAGCACCTCCCCTATGACATTTTCCAAAACTATTGAATCTGTGAAATCATCCCTGAAAATTCATGAAAATTAACTTTAATAAAAATTAAATTTTAGTTTTCATGAAAATTAAACTTTAATGAAAATTAAAGTTTTATGCTGGCCTATTGTTAAAAGTATGGGAGAGAGAATGAGTACACAAGAATTTATGTGGTTCAGCCAATTGGACCTACATCTACGAAAGGAGAATTAATCTGTATTATTATGACTCTTCTATAGTTTCCTTGTACATATATATAGAATTGTACATGATAACATTCTATATTGAGTCCACAATAGGAAACAGTGATCTGCGTGATTAAGGGAAATCAACGTGATTGAGGAAAGCTAGTTAATATGCAGATATCACTGGGATACACCAAGCTGTCTCAACACTCCCCCTCAAGTTAGTACGAAGAGATTGAATGAGTCCAACTTATCAAGAACATGAACGAATTTTTCCTTGCCAACCGCTTTAGTCAAGATATCTGCAAGTTATTTTCATTGTTAACATGGAGAGTACAAATCATCTTAGCTTGAACCTTTTTCCTGACTAAATGACAATCAACTTCAATATGTTTAGTTCTTTCATGAAAAATATGATTAGTTGCAATATGGATTGCAGCTTGGTTATTACAAAATAATAGCATTGGTTTGGCTGACTTGAAACCTAAGTCATTGAGAAAAGATTTTAACCAAATTAGTTCAAAAGTTGTGCACAGTATTCTGCCTTAGCACTGGATCTATCAATAACATTTTGCTTTTTATTTTTCCATGTGGCAATATTTCCACCAACAAAAGTATAAAAACCTGTGGTAGATTTTTTATCTGAAGGGTTACCAGCCCAATATGCATCACAATAACCAATTATGTTTTCATGTCCATTGTTTTTCATCCAGATTCCATGACCAGTGGAAGATTTTAAATGTCTTAGAATTCCATCAACGGCCTGCATCTGATAAGATCTGGGGTTATGCATGAACTGACTAACCATGCTCACAAAATAGGTGATATCTGGTCTAGTAATTGTTAAGTAAATTAATTTTCCAACAATTCGCTGATGTTTTCCAACATCCTGAAGAGGTTCACCATCCTTGATGGAGATCTTGTTGTTTATCTCAGCTGGAGTATAAACAGGTTTAGCTCCAATTTTACCAGTTTCTCTCAAGAGATCTAAGGTATATTTCTTTTGTGAAAGAAGCAATCCTTTCTAAGAATAAGCAACTTCTATACCAAGGAAATACTTTAATTTTCCTAAATCTTTGATATCAAAAACGTTGTCGAGATATTTCTTTTAGTTGATCAATACCTTGTATGTGGCTCCCAGTGACTATAATATCATCAACATATACCAATACAACAACAATTCCGATGGAATTCCTTTTAATAAACATAGAAGAATCAGCAGCACTTCTAGTAAAACCATTATTTAATAAGGCACTGCTTAACTTGGCATACCAGGGCTTAGGAGATTGTTTTAAGCCATATATTGCTTTCTTTAGTTTGCACACAAGATCTGAATTTTTTTTAGGCTGTCCATGAGGTATTTCCATATACACATCTTCTTCTAAATCAACTTGAAGAAAAGCATTTTTAACATCGAGTTAGAACAAGGGCCAATTTTAATTTGTTGCAATTGAAAGAAGAACTCTAACGGAGTTCATTTCGGCCATAAGTGTGAAAGTTTCTTTATCGTCTTCACCATAAGTTTGTGTAAACCCTTTTGTAACCAACCTAGCTTTGTGCCTCTCAATTGTACCATCACCCTTGTACTTGATTTTATAAACCCATTTATTTCCAACCACTTTCTTTCATTTGGGTAACTTGACAAGTTCTCAAGTATGGTGCTTGTCAAGAGCCCAAAGTTCTTCTTCTATAACCTTTTTCCAAACTGACTTGGAAATAGCCTCTTGGAAGTTAGCCGGTTCCATATTAGAAGAAACAGAGCTAAGATAAGAAAAGTAATGTTGAGAGATATGAGAGTAATCAACAAATTATTCAATAGGATAGGTGGAAGCATTATGGGTATAAAAATCATGAAACTTACTTGGGAGGCGACTGGTATGTTGAGATCGACTAATGGAAGGGGGGGCCACATGAGAGTCGATTTGGTGAGGTTCATCTTGAGGTTCTTCTTCATGAGGAACTTCAACTACTTCTCCTCCATTCTCATTGTCATCATTTTTATCAAAATTATCAAGAGTGATGTTAGGCATAACCATATGTGAATCCCCCTGAACCAAATTTTCCTTAGTGGAAACAAAATATGGTTCATTTTCTCAAAAAGCAACATCACAGGAAATGATAACTTGTTGGTTGATTGGATCATAGCATTTATATGCCTTTTGAGTGTGACAATATCCGATGAAAATACATTTTTTTTGCATTGGCGCTTAATTTATCAATATTTTGACTGTGCACAAAACAGACACATCCAAATATTTTGAGGTGATTCAAAGAAGTCTTCTTTCCTTTTAGAACTTCCACAGGAGATCTATTTTTCAAAAGTTTGTTTGGCCATCTATTAATAACATGTTAAAACAACATCTCCCCACAAAATGTTTTGGCATATTGCTCTGAAACATCAGAGCTCGAGTGACCTTAAGTACATGGCGATTCTTGTGTTCGGCAATCCCATTTTGTTGGGGAGTTCCAATGCAAGAAGTTTGGTGAATAATTCCTTTTTCTTTAAGATAAGTAGAAAAATTGTTGTTCACATATTCTGTCACATTGCTAGATTGCAACACTTTAATTTTGGCATCAAATTGAGTTTCAATTATTTTAGAGAACTCTCGAAAAGTGGGGAAAACTTGATCTTTTGAATGGAGTAAATATACCCAAATTGTCCTAAAAAAATCATCAATAAATGTCACAAAATATCGATGTCCACGAGTAGATTTAATTGGAGCAGGTCCCCAAACATCAGCGTGAATTAAATTTAATGAAGCAAGAGATATTCTAATAGAACTTCTAAAAGGCAAATGAGTTTGTTTGGAGTACCGACAAATATTGCAGCTCATAGAGTCCAAATGCAATGAAGGAAAAATATAACATAGAATTTTCTTAAAGGGATGTCTGAATCTCATATGTCATTTTCTACTATATGTTACCTCCTTCTCTTTAAAAGTGACAAGAGCTTTTGTGGTAGAATCCAAAATGTAAAGCCCATGAACTAGCTTCCCCTTACCGATCCTCCTCCCCGTGACCCGGTCTTGGAACAACACATTTGAAGGAGAAAAGATTACATCACGGTTGTGACTTTGGGTGACTTTACTAACAAATAACAGATTAGATGAAAAAGAAGGTAAATAAAAAGCATCAGATAAAGATGAGCTACTAAAAATTTTGATTTTTCCATTTCCTTTAACAGGAATGAGAGTTCCATCCTCTATTGTGACAGGATTCC